CTGTAACTTGTTTTTCCCCATTTGCTAGGTCAGTGCTTTGGGACCCAACAGTCCATAGAGTCATTAAACCATGGTAGTCATTAAACAGCTGCCTGTGCCCTGGCTGGTTAGAGCGTCGTCCTGCGGTCCAGAGAGACCCAGGTTCGGTTCCCGCTAAGGGCATGTACCTCGGTTGCAGTTTGTCCCCGGCCCTGGTTGGGTCGTGCGGGTGGCAGCCACTCGATGTGTCCCTTTCACATTGATGTTTCTCTCTCTCTCTCTCTCTTCATCTTTCTCCCTCCCGCTCTTTCTGAACAAAAAATGAAAAAATGTCCTCGGGTGAGGATAAAAAAAATAATAAAACAGCTGCCTGTGTGATTAACATTGTCAGAGGGAACCGAACAATGGATTACAGCTATATTCATCGAGAATGGGTGCTCTGTTGGATGGATAGGTGGATGGACTGCTGGAAGGATGAATGAATAAATGGCAGGGATGGCACTGCCTGGTGCCTGGTGTAGCCACAGAGACTGGGGTTTGAGGTCTGAGAAAACCTGTGCTCACTTCCTGTCCTGCCACTTCACAGCTGTGCGGGCTTGGCAAGACACGCTGCACTTCTCCCCACCAAGACCCGGGTTTCTCATCTGGAAAGTGGGTCTATTAATAGCATTGCCCAACTTTCTCATTTCTCTGGTCTTGCAGGCATAAAACAGTAACTTGCTCCTTTGTTTTGTGTATCTCTTATTTGAATGATTCTGAGCATCTTGATGCATCCCCACTTCAAAACTGCTGGTATTTTCGCTTGTTTTTCCCTTGAGCTTGCCTTCTTTTCCTCCTCCATCTGCATAAGCACCGTTGTACATTTCTCGTGTATTCCCGACATTGAGAAATCGCAGCGATCTTTCATTCTCTCGTCTTTGTCTGCAGTGATGTGTCAATAGACACTCTTAATTTTGATATAATCAACTTCGCCCATGTTTGGCCTAATGATTTGTATTTTTGGAGTTTTGTACAAGATGTACTTCTTCCTGACTGCATTCCCAGGCCATCAGGATAGTTCCCTGCATCCTTGTCTGGTGAACTGGATGGTTTTTCTTTCCCATAAGTGTCTTCTGGAGTCTGCCTTTGTACGCAGTGCGAATTAGGGATTCATTTCTCATCTACTACACCTGCTTACTCAGCCCTTCATGAACCATCTGCGCTTTTCAGACACGCCTCTCTTCCGACAGTTACCTGTTTATTTGTGTTGGAAAACACCAGCATGGTGGTTCTCAAACTGAGGTACTTTATTTATTTTTAATCCTCACCTGAGGATATTATTCCATTGATTTTTAGACAGTGGAAGGGAGGCAGGGGAAGAAAGAGAGAAACATCGATGTGAGAGAGACACATCAACTTGTTGCCTCCCACACGACCCCACTGAGGCTGGGACTCGCACCTGCAAGTCAGGTACGTGCCCTTGACCAAGAATCGAACCCAAGAGCCTCCGGGCTGCAGGCTGACACTCTAACCGCTGAGTCAAACTGTCCAGCGCCACACTTAACTGTTTTAAGGCAAGTTGAGATGAGCTGCCCTGGTGCTCACAGTGGTCTACCCCCCCCCACCACCACACACACACACCATCGAGGTCACAGTCAAGTATGGGGGGTGGTCTGGAAGTGACCAACAGCTGCTTAGTAACCTTCATCAGACTCCCTAGGGTCCACCTCCCTGGGCACTGGGTTCCGCTTAGGACAAGACGTCAGAGCCTCTCCCATCTTCTTGGCAACGTTAAGAGAACACGACCCCGATTTTCAGGGCCGTAAGTGGAGACATCGAGAGGTAAGTAACCAGCCCAAGGCCTTAAGGGAATGTCCGGGGCTCCGGGAACAGGGAGGCCTCCTCCCGGCTACTCACCAGGTGCGGAGAGCCGGCACCAGCTGCGGCGCCCGCGGTGCTCAGCAGAGGGCGCTCCGGGACCACCAAAGGTGCTTTAGGCACTGGCCCGGAGCCAGAGGCTCCCCCGCCTGGGGAAAGTGGACATTCCTGGAGGGCAATGCTCCCTCAAGTGAGGTCCTGGGATCAGCAGCATTAGCATCACCCAGGGTCTGGATAGAAGTGCATATTCTTGGGTCCACCGCAGACCCACAGAATCATCTGGGGCTGAGGTCCAGCAATTTGTGCGTTAAAAAGGTTCTCCTAGTAATTTTGATGCAGGACCCATTTGAGGTCTGATGGTCTCTGGGAGCTCTAGGGTAGCAGTTCTAAGCCTCAGGGGCACATTCTAATCACCCCGGAAACTTTAGGGCTCTGGATGCCCCAGTCGTAACCCAGACCAGTTCCATGAGAACCTCTGAGGCAGGCTGGGCACGGGTGTTTGAAAGCTCCCAGGTTACTCCACAGGGCCGCCAGGATTGGGAACCACCGCCCTAGGCGAGCCAGTCAGGGCTGAGGTGTAAAGAATTGGCCACTTCTGAGATTCAACAGGAATAAGACGACATTTCTTTCTTTCTTTTATTTTTTTGATTTATTTATTTATTTTTGCTTTTTTTAAAAATCCTCATCCGAGGACATTTTTCCATTTTTTGTACAGACAGAGTGGGAGGGAGAGAGAGGAAGAGAGAGAGAGGGAAACATCGATGTGAAAGGGACACATCAAGTGGCTGCCACCCACACGACCAACCAGGGCCGGGGACAAACTGCAACCGAGGTACGTGCCCTCAGCGGGAACCGAACCCGGGTCTCTCCAGACCGCAGGCGGACGCTCTAACCGCTGAGCCAAACTGGCCAGGGCAAGACGACATTTCATCTGATTTGAGCTCCAACACATCAGGTCTTCAACCCTGGGAGAAAAGCTCTGTGATGATCACTCTTTCAGATGAGTAAGTGGAGGCAGAGAAGTTAAGTAACCAGCCCAAGGTCACACAGCGGATAGGGGTGGTGCTGGAGGCGAGATGGGCAGTCTCCATGTCCCTCCTCGTTCTGGACCCCTGAGGATCTCCTCTTTCCATCATTCCCCCGTGGGGCCTGGGAAGGGGCATCAGAAAGTCCCTCCCTGCTGTCGGGTGGCATCCCTATGTGTCCTCCACTGTTTTCTCGTTGGTTACAGTTAGGGGAGGCTGGGCCAGTCCAGGTAAAGGCTGATTTGGCGACAGGACTCCAGTTTTCCGGTGGGCTTCCTCCACGAACACCACAGGAGGCATCGGCAGGCTGCATTTGGGGACGGGGCACCATCTGAAACCCCCTTGGATAGAAAATAATAGTGAAAGCTCTAGGAACATCTTAGGTGACCCAAGGGTCCTCTCACCCCCTAGGCCTCGCTGGATGTTCATGCTGGGGACGCTGGGGACAAGAGGGACAAACTGAGAATTAGCGGGGTTGGGGGGGGGGGGACGGATTTGCCTGGTCTCTCCAGGAATCTCTCACCATCTCTGCTGCCAGCTCCTGTCTCCTTCCAGCATCCCAAACAGGCCAGGCCCCCCCTGGTAAGGAGGCCACTATTCCCCAGGCAGGAGCCACAGACAGCCCCCACTGCCACCACCAACCACCAGCCGGGCACCTAGCATGCTCACTGGCCACTCCAGAGACAGCTCCACCCAGTGTGGTTATTCCCCCCCCTCCCGGTAAGTCCATCCCTCCAAGTGAGGGTCAAAGCCCACTGGGGATTCTTTCTGGCCAGGCCATAGCTGTGAACTACACCAGTGCCAAGGGGCTCTTAGCATTGCGGCAAGGGGCACCCACGTGACCGCTTCGGGGGCGGGAGAGGTCATATCATTCTTCAGTTCCAAGGAATAAAACAGAGAAACCCAGGCCAGGCTGCCGCCAGTCAGGAGGACGAAGCTGGCCTTCGGACCCCCGTTGATTAACCTCCGTTAATTTCTTTTTCTCCTGCCTTCAGCAAAGCTGGAGTGTGGTTGTTGCTGTCTATTTTTTACTGGTAGGGGTTGGGGTGGGAGGACACAATACAGAGATGTCTCCCAGCTCCCGGGGGGGCCTTAGCAACCCCATCTCTCCCAACTGTGACCACGGCACACTCCACGCTACTGCACACCCGCCTTGTTTAGGCCTGTTCCTATTGCAATGATTTGTCTGATGGTCAAGCTGCCCCAGGACATGTTCGTGGAGCTGGATCAGAACAGACGCCTGGGGCGTGGCTGGGTGGCTCAGTTGGTTGGAGCATCATCCTGTATACGGAAAGGTTTCGAGTTCGATTCCTGATCAGGGCACATACCTACGTTGTGGGTTTGATCTCTGGTCAGGACGCATAAAGGAGGCAACCGGTCGATGTTTCCCACATTGATGTCTCTTTCTTTAGTCTCCCTCTAAAATCTATAAAAACATATCCTAAAGTGAGGATGAAAAAAACAAACAAAATCAGATTCCTGAGCCGCACAGCAGTGCCAGCAAACAGCTCTGGCACGAAGGATCCCAAGGTCTGTATTTGGACACATTGCCCAGGTGAGTCTGTCCCTCGTAAAGTGTGTGAAGTGTATAAACTGCAGGCCCTGGACCCTTGAAGCCAGCAGAGCGCGGGAGTGCGGGGGTGGCGGGCAAAGTGGCATACACGGTCACCACCACGGAGAGTGAGGGGACACAAGGGCGTGGCAAACCACCCGGGAGCAGTCCAGCTGCCAAGTCCAAAGCCAAGAAATAAGTTTGTAAACATTTTTATTTACATGTAAGTTCCGGGAGGCCGGCAACGTGAAGTGTGCAGGGGACAGGGAGACGGAAGGGGGAGGGGACGGACTTGCTCCCCGGCCTCGCTCTGGGTTTCAGGCTGAGCACCGAGAGCTGCATTTGAGGAAGTGAACGCAGCTCCGTTGTACAGGTTTTTCTTTACATTCCTTGGGTTACTGTAAAGCGTCTGTATTTTTTTAAAAAACAATCCATGAAAGAAATTTTTAACAAGAGGGGTTAGGTGGACTTCCTCCCTGGCCCTCGCTCTACCTCCATTTTCACATGTGGAGGCAAAAAGAGCACCTTTGTCCGAGTGCAGGAGAGGGAGCGATGCGCCCTGAGTAGCTGAGAAGGCGGCAGGTGGCAGCGTGCTCCTGGCTTCTGTGTCCTCACCTCACAGCAGGTCTTCTTGCTCTTCCTGCTCTGCTTCTGCTCTGGCCTCCGCCCTCAGCACCCGGAGACTCCGGGCCTCGCCCGCCCTGGGTACTCTCTTGGGCAGGGTTGGCAACCGAGGCGCGTGCCAGAAGGCTCTCCGGCGCTTTCGAAACCACGAAAAGCGCCCAGGGGTCTGGAACCTCACTGTCTTGACTTGTTTCCGGGCCCTAGCTCCTGAGGTTGCTCCTGTGGCCCCCCGGGCAGCCAAGGGTTCACCTTCCTGGACAGCTCGAGCTTCTGCCCTCTGATTATCCACAGCCTCAGCCCCCTGGTCAGCTCTGACCTCTGCTCCCCAGACAACTGGGACCTCTGCCCTCTGATTACCCACAGCCTCAGCCCCCTGGTCAGCTATGGCCTCTGCCCTCTGATTACCTGCAGCCTCTGCCCCCTGATCAGCTGCAACCTCTACCCTCTGATCAGCTGCAACCTCTACCCTCTGATCAGCTGCAACCTCTACCCTCTGATCAGCTGCAGCCTCCACCCCCTGATTATCCACAGCCTCTACCCTCTGATCAGCTGCAGCCTCTACCCTCTGATCAGCTGCAGCCTCTACCCTCTGACCAGCTGCAGCATCTGCCCCCTGAGCTGTAGTTGCTGCTTCCTCCCTCCTGCGCAGCCTAAACGAGGCCCAGTTGATCTTGGGCCTCCATCGCCGTGGGGCAGCTTCAGGCACCAGCCCCTCTCCTGCATTCCCCACGTTATCCCCCTGACTGGCGCTACCTGGCACCTCATCCCTCTCCACCCTGGTAGAGGCCACCTGGGCCTCACCCGCTCCAGGGCTGGACCTCGGCGCCCAACCCTTCACCCTGCGCTTCAGCTTCCCCCAGGACATCTGGCTGACATACTCTCGCCACCTGTCCGCTTTGGACACCTGGGGCCCCGGGCTGTCCTCAAACATGGGCACAGGCAGGTTCCCGCGGCGGCGGGCGGGCATCGCGCTGGGCTGCTTCTCCCCGCGCCGGAGGAAGGCCTCCACCAGCTCCTCGTCATCCTCACTCTCCAGGTCGCTCCCCAGGAATTTGCTGCCCAGGTAACTGACGGGCATTCTGCGCACCTTCCTGCCACGCCCCGCGCCTTTGTAGCCCTTGTCACCCTTCTCTCTGGAGGTCTCGAAGTCGCTGAACTCGCTGTCGCTGGCGTTGCTGCTGTCGTAGGTGCCCACAACCAGCCGGGGAGGAGGGGTCACCAGCTGCTGGACTCTCCTCCTCCCTCGGGGCTCCTTGGGCTTTTGTGGGGGCTGGGGCGGGTGCGGGGTGCTCTTCTCAATGATGCGGGCAACGTCCTCCAGGGTGCGGCCTTCTTCCTCCAGGAACTGGGTCAGTCGCTCCCGAAACTCCGCTTCCTTGGTGGCGGGCTTGGAGATGACCCTCCAGACACCCCCCGCCAGCCTGACCTCGCGCGGGATAAGCAAATAGTCGACGTCCTCCCCAATCTGCAACATCCCCACAGTGGAGTCCTCCTCCTTGCGGAACACCTTGCCGATCTTCTTAAAGGTCCCCACGGGCTTCAAGGCTTCCACCAGGACGTCCAAATCCACGTCTTTGCAGACGTCGGGGACGCTCCATAGGATCAGGCAGTCGGGGGATGGGAGGAAGCCCCAGGGGAACCAGCCCCCCACGTGGCTTTTCTCCAGGGTCTTTAAGATCTCCAGGGTGAAATCTGAGGTGAGGGGCCAAAGAGCCCAAACTGCAAGAGGCCCCTCGTCTTGGGGGTAGGAGTGGGGATGGGGTCCCGGCAGTGCTGCCCCGAGCGTCTCACCTCTCCAGCGGGGACGGGCCAACACTTCCCAATTTCTCCGCCTGCAACAAGTCCTGCGTGGACCGAGGCCGGCTCCCCGCAACCAGGGGTGGCAATCAGTGTTCAGGATGCTTACGTGAGCCGGGCTGAGGTCACTCCTGAGGCTCAAAGCGCACTGCGAGCTGAAAACGTGGTGTCCCGGCTCCAACTTGGGGCGCACGGGCTGCCCGTGGCTCTTCCTGCCCGGGGCACCAGGGACGAGCCTGGAACTTGGGAGGGGATTTCGTAGACAAAGACGGCTCAGCCGCGGCTACTCAATATGGCCGAGGCGCTTGGAGGAGGCAGCCCGGCCCCCGGGAGGGTCTCCCGCCCCTCGGCAGGCTGCCACCCCCGGCCAGGCTGACCTTGACGCGCCACCCGCCTCCCAGCCCGCGCGCAGCCCTGGCGCTCCGGGCAGGAAGTTCCTCCTCAACCTCCCCCCGAGGGAGGCCCACCTTCCCCCTTCTCGTCTTACACTCCCTGACAAGGGAAGACTGACACGGGGGCCGTCCACTCCCTTCGGGGCGCCCTCGCCCCCTCCCGCACGGGGGTGTGGCCGCGCCCCGGGCTTCGCGGGGGCCACCGCTTCCAAGCGGACTGTGCGGGGAGGCCCACGTCAGCACCTTCCTGCCATCCTAAACGTGCGGGTTGCAGCCCAGCCCCGGAGGTGGGGGTGCTGGTGAGGCCGTCTCCAGTGCCATGAACTGTATATAACCATTTTAAATGGACAGGACTTCTGGTACCAGCAACCCCCTCCTATCTACCCAGACTTGTGGGTGGAGAAAGTGGTACCAGGGTCTCACTGCACCGGCTTGGCCCATAGCAGATGCTCCGTAAATATTTTTGAGTGAAGTGAATGAATGACTACATGAACCCAACTGTTCATCAGTAGGGACTGACTCAGTTTCATGATCTGTTCCTACAGTGAAATACTGAGCAGCCATGAAAAACGATAATCGAGTTTTATGGAGACTTTTCTAAGTAGGAGGCACCATTGTAAGTGCTTCTGTGAAATCAACTTATGAAATCCTCACTGTGACATTGTGAAGCTGGTGGTAATACGATGATCACTCCCATTTTATTTTATTTTATTTTTTTAAACATCATCCGAGGACATTTTTCCATTTTTTGTACAGAAAGAGTGGGAGGGAGAGAGAGGAAGAGAGAGAGAGGGAAACATCGATGTGAAAGGGACACATCGAGTGGCTGCCACCCGCACGACCAACCAGGGCGACAAACTGCAACCGAGGTACATGCCCTTAGCGGGAACCGAACCCGGGTCTCTCGGGACCGCAGGCCGACGCTCTAACCGCTGAGCCAAACCGGCCAGGGCTGATCACTCCCATTTTATAGCCAAAGAAATAGCATCACTTGCTCAAGGTCACGTGGCCAGGAAGTGATGGCACCTGGGTTTGAATCTGAAACTGTCTAACATGTGAGTGTGTGTGTGTAAGGACTGAGGTGTACCTATGTACTCTGCACACGTACAAGCACTGCCAACAGTGGCTATTTCTGGGGAGGGGGTCTGGGGACCCCAGAAGGGTCAGAGACAATGGTTGTTTCTGGGGGGGACTGGGGACCCCCAGAGGTGGCAGAGGCATGTACTTTTCTATATCCTTTAGGATTGCTTGGATTTTTAGTAATCAAAACTGTTAATTAAAAATTTAGATTAGCCCTGGCCGGTTTGGCTCAGCGGTTAGAGTGTCAGCCTGCGGTCCGGAGACACCTGGGTTCGGTTCCTGCTAAGGGCATGTACCCCGGTTGCAGTTTGTCCCTGACCCTGGTTGGGTCGTGTGGATGGCAGCCACTCGATGTGTCCCTTTCACGTAGATGTGTCCCTTTCTCTCTGTTTCTCCCTCTCTCTCCCTCCCACTCTATCTGAACAAAAAATGTCCTCAGCCCTGGCCGGTTTGGCTCAGCGGTTAGAGCGTTGGCCTGCGGTCCGGAGAGACCCGGGTTCGGTTCCCGCTAAGGGCATGTACCTTGGTTGCAGTTTGTCCCCGGCCCTGGTTGGGTCGTGTGGGTGGCAACCACTCGATGTGTCGCTTTCACGTCGATGTTTCTCTCTCTCTCTCTCCCTCTCACTCTATCTGAACAAAATATCGAAAAATATCCTCGGGTGAGGATAAAAAAAAAAAAAATGTCCTCAGGTGAGGATAAGAAAAAAAAATTTAGATTAGCTCTGGCTCGTTTGTCTCATTGGTTAGAACATCGGCCTGTGGACCAATGAGTCGTGGGTTTCATTCCGGTCAAGGGCACCCACCTTGGTTGCAGGTACGTTCCTGGCCCTGGTAGGGGTGCTGCAGCAGGCAACCAATTGATGTGTCCTTCTCATGTCGATGTTTCTCTCTCGCTCCCCCTCCCTCTCTCCCTCCCACTCTATCTGAAGATAGATAGGAAAAAAAAATCCTTGGGTAAAAATTTTAAAAAAGTTTTATATTAAACCAAAGGTCCTCAGACTCGGCCACAGACAGAATGGGTCGGGACACCTGGGACGCGGGGGCCAGGGCTTGCAACGTTTCTCAGGTGATGCCGAGGCAGACGGCTCAGCAGTGATATGCACAGCGACAATGCATCAGTAATAATAACAGTGAACTTGCACTGAGGGTTTCCTTGAAACCAGTCACCCTGCGATGTGCTGAATAGGCCGGTTGCTATGCATCCCCAGAGCTATCATCTTCTTACGAGTGGGGAACCTGAGGCCCGTCTGAAGTTGCGCAGCTGTGTGAACTTAGGCACTGGAGTAACCATCCTGCCAGGCTCAGGAGGCACGGCTGATCCACGAAAATGCCTCTTCTGCCTTCAGTGCCTGCAGTCCATGCCAACCCAGCAGCTGGAGAGATTGCTTAAAAATTTAAGTCAGATCTGTCTCTACTCTTTTTTTTTTTTTTTAATATGTTTTTATTGATCTTTTAGAGAGAAAGGAAGGGAGAGAGAGAGAGAGAGAGGAGCATCAATGTGAGAGAGAAACATCCATCGGCTGCCTCTTGCACCCGCCCCCCCCCACTGGGATGGAGCCCAAAACCCCGGGCATGCACCCTGATTGGGAATCCAACCGGGACCTCTCAGTCCATGGGACGATGCTCAATCCACTATGCCACACCGGCCAGGCGGTCTCTACTTTTTTTTTTTTAAGTATTCATCTCACACAAAGCCCTGCCAGTTCTCCCCCATTTCCTTCTTTCTTTCTCTGTTTACCACTCCAGACACACCTGCCTCTTCTTTCCTGTTCTTCCAACATGTTGATTGCCCCCAACCTCAGGGCCTTTGTACTTGCTGTTCCCTCCACCCAGAATACTCTGCCTTCACTTTCTTAGGCAATCTCCCTCCGCCCCCCACCCCTGCGCTCTCCAGAGCTTTCTTGTCCAAGAATCCTAACCCTTTCCAGGCCATGGACCACTTCCAGTTAAAGTATGTCAATGCATAAATTGCATCTATTGGATTACAAAGGAAACCAATTATAATGAAATTACAAAGACAACAGCAAAAAAAAAATCTGTAAAATGATAACTTTAATACACAATAAAAATGAACACATGTAATTTTAGTTAATTCTCAACATGCAATTTTATTTAACTCCTGAAAGAACCAGGCAGATGTTTAGAGAAAAGGGGAATGGAGAGATTAAAGGAAGAGGAGAGAGAGAGGGAAAGAAGGAAGAATGATTCTTGGAGGCTGGGGGGAGGTTAGAATCTCTGCGAGGATTTTGCACAATCGTTGGCTCATTCCGGTTGTTTTCCTTTTGCACAGCTGGGTCGTTTCGCTGGATTTTATTCTCCTCACCAGCCACACCCCAGCCTTGCAGGGCCTCCAGCCACCGCGCCCCTCCTGCTCGGGTTCTCGCCCCACGCCCAGTGGTCGCCACAGCAACGAGGAGCCGCGTTCCTAGCTGAGTCCTCTCGGAGAGCGAGACCCTGTGGTGTGAGGGCGGGGCAGCGCCTCTTCCCAGCTCCTCATCTCTTCCTGAGGTCTGATGCCCTCAGCCATCTCCCCTGGGAAGCTGCTCATAGGGGCCCTAGGATAAAAACCCCGGGGACACCACTGTTTGAGGAATAATGGCTTAGGAATCCAAATCTGAGCCCTGGCCGGTTTTGTTCAGCGGTTAGAGCGTCGGCCTGCGGTCCAGAGAGACCCGGGTTCGGTTCCCGCTAAGAGCATGTACCTCGGTTGCAGTTTGTCCCCGGCCCTGGTTGGGTCATGCAGGTGGCAGCCACTCGATGTGTCCCTTTCACGTAGATGTTTCTCTCTCTCTCTCTCTCTTCCTCTCTCTCCCTCCCTCCCTGAACAAAAAATGGAAAAATGTCCTCGGGTGAGAATAAAAAAAAGAATCCAAATATGAGAAGTCAAGACTCTCACCTGGCAGATGAGACATTTATGTTGTTTTCAAATTTTTGTTTTGTTTGTTTTTTGGTGGAAGGAGGAAAGGATTATCCTAGAAATGAAAACCTCACATGTTCAGCATCCTTACAAAAATTGCCAACCCCTGAGAAGTTTGGCTGGATGTGTTTTAAATCACCCAGATCTCTGGCAGGTGAGATCCTTCTCTCACCCCCCCATCCCCCCAAAAAGGATAATTACAGCTTCCACTTTTATATTTGTTGAAAAAGAACAACAACAAAAAAAAAATCAGAAAAGAATGGAGGAAGAAAACAAAACATGGCCCAAATCTCTCTACTCAGCTTTGCTTGGTAGCCATTTTAAAACATAATAATAATATTAAAAGTCACACACATAGCCCTGGCCGGTTTGGCTCAGAGGTTAGAGCGTTGGCCTGCGGTCCGGAGAGACCCAGGTTCGGTTCCCCGCTAAGGGCACGTACCTCGGTTGCAGTTTGTCCCTGGCCCTGG